ATAGAACGTACAGCTTCATACAAAGTATATTCACATAATTAACTTCCACATAAAAGACACGCAAACAAGTTGAAATGCCACTACATGAAAGAATATACAAAATCTTTTTACAGGCCTTAAGCCATATGACCATGAGAAAAACAGAATATATTGCACCATTGTATTTATATCCAAAGCTTTATTCTTAAAATGCACCATTGTATTTATATCCAAAGCTTTATTCTTAAAATGATTGAGTTTCTATGATTCCATAGACACCATGTAATAACTCCCTAAATAACATTTCACTCATCCCTATGCAGTCTTTTTACCATGTTTAGAGAATGTTGCTAGAAGTGATGCTTGGGTACCAATGGCAAAATGGTTTTGACACCTAACCAATTATAACATTCCATCCAAATCCTTTTGTGAAATCTTATAAGTAAAAATAACATGTGAAATATTCTTCGCCAAAAGGGCACAAGTTGCTATTATTGGTTAAATCAATTATCTTATTGTTAAGTCCACTTTTATTAGTAATCTATCAACCAACAACCTCCAAATATAGCAACCTACCTTTGGAGGAATAAAATCTTCCACACCTCACTAAAAATATGTACCTCTTGTCTATAATAGAGGTCTTCGTGTAAAGTGTCATAAGTCAAGCTTATAGTGAAGAAACTAGAAGGATCTTCCCTCCACTTCCACATATCTATATCCCTGCTACCTTTCCTTGATAAAGATTAAACTTCATCAAAACACTTTCGGACACTTTCTAATTCCCACTCAAACCATTCTCTCCTTCATTTAAAATCTCAAACCCATGAATTTCCCCTTCACACACCCATATTACTAATAAAACCCCATTTTTGTTTAGAGTTTTGGAACAATCTAAGGAGCTTTTTAGCCAAACACTCCACACCATCCCACTTGTCTAGCCAAAACCTTGTTTTTCTACCATTTTCCACACTCCACACTAAGTTGTTATCGAACCACTCACTATGCGCCTGACCACCACAAACTAATTTCGAATCCCTCTACCATATATAATATTGTATCCACCCCTCTTCCCCATTCAAGTCACTCCAACACCTATATTTTGAAGAAATAATTTTTACCCATTGAGACTCACCTTGGTGAAACATTTTCCACTTCCATTTTGCAAGTAACACTTAATTGCACAAAGAAATATCTCTAACTCCAAGTCCTTCATGTCTTTTAGGTCTGCAGATTTTTTCAACTCACTCACATAATCTTTGAATTTTCGTTCTTTGCTCCTTACAGAAATATCCTATAAATCTTTACTATTTTATCTATAATCTTTATTAGGATCTTGAATAATGATATAAAATGCAAAAGTACTGAGGTCAACACCGAATTAATCAAGTAAACCCTATTTTCAAAAGAAAGTTGATTTTACTTCCTCTTTGACAATTTTGTGGAGAACTTTGTGAAGATAGTATCCCATGTTGAAACTTTTCTTGGATTTACAACTATTGGAATCCCTAAGTGCACAAATAGGAAACACAAGATTTTACAATTCAAAATATTGGAATACCTTTCAATTTTACCGATTTTAACTCCAATCCCTCCAAATTAGTTTTTGTAAAATTAATCTTCAAAACCAACACCAATTCAAAGTTTCTCAAAATTGTCTTGATGATCATGACATTTTTCCAAACACATTTTCCTAAAAAAGATTGTGTCATCAACATATTATAACAAATTAACCTCTACATTATCTTTCCCCGCACAAAAGCCCTTGAACAATCCTTTTTTAGTGACCTTTTTCATCCATCCATTCATACCTTCCCTAATAATTATGAAGAGGAAATGAGCTAAAGGGTATCCTCGCCTTAAACCTTTTTTCATCATAAATTTTGAAGTAGGGATATCATTAGTGATATTGATGATGACACTAAACATCCTTTAATCCACCCAATTCACTTCTCCTCAAGACCCACTCTCTTCATCATATACAATAGAAAATTCTAATTTATTGAATCATATGCCTTCTCATAGTCAACTTTGAATACAAAACATTTTTTTTCTCTTTCTTCTAGCTTCATCAACAACTTCATTTGCAATTACTATACTTTGTAACAAATTCCTACCCCTTAAAAAAACACTATGTCTAGCATCAATGACTTTATCCAACAATTTCTTCAATCTTTGTGATAAGATTTTATCCACAATTTTATACATGCACCCCAGGCCTAATGTCATATAGGCATTGTGGATCATCCACCTTTGGGATAATAGTAATGAAAAAGGTGTTGCACCCTTTAAGGAAAATCTTACTAGAGTGGAACTCATGCAAGAAGTTCATGATATCTCTCTTAAGCATCTTCCAAAATCACATAATCAATTCAAAATTAAAGCCATTAGGTCTTGGGCTTTTTGAGCTTCCATAGTCTTGTATAACATTCCTTATTTTCTCCTTCTCAAAACTTCCCAAAAGAAGCAAATTTTTTTCAAAGGAAATTTTCTCAAAATGGACTCCATCTACCTTAGGCCTTTCCCAACCTTCCTCATCGAACCTCGAAAAATCTTTTTGCTTCATCTTTCACAATTGAAGGCTCTTCGGTCCATATCTTATTTATAAAGAGACATTTCAACATATTTTTCTCCTCTTTCAATTAACGTTCAAATGATAAAAATATTAAATTTTGATCTCTTTCCTTTAGCCATTTTACCTTTGCCTTTTGGCTCAATAGAGATTCACTTTGTTTTGCCACAATCCAATAGTCTTCTTGTAGCTTAATTTTGTTCTTAATGTCCTTGTCATTCAAAACTTATGATTCCTCCTTCAACTCAATCTCATTAATGTCTCTTTGAATAGCTTCATATTTGGAATTCAAATTACCAAAGTTCTCTCTATTCCACACTTTGACCTTTTCTTTAAGCCTCTCGAGTTTTCCTTTGAAGACGTAAGCACTCCACCCCTAAACATGCAAAGTGGACCAAGTCTCCATCAGAAGTGACGTGAAGGATTTATCTTTCAACCAGCTCTCTAAATTAATGTATTACTTTTATCAATTGCAAATACATATCAAAATTTGTGTAATTTACATATAAATAAAATTGAAATAAAAAACAGTATTATGTTAAAATTTGAGAATATCATTATTTTTGCATTCATTTTGAGATATAAAAGAGTACTTACATATTTACGTCATAATGTTTAATAACAATGTAGTGTAACAAGGAAAAAGATTACCCACCTTAGGTTAATTCAACCTTTTTTTTTTAAAAAAAGTAAAAAAATAAAATAAGAAAGTTAAGAGCCAGTTTGGATATTATCATATAATTATACAATTTTTAAAATACTTTAAAAAAAAATTCTATTAATTTTTTTTTAGTAAAAGAAATTTCAAAAATACTTTTAACTCTAATTCAACCTTAAACTTTGTACAAAATTAATTGAAATGTGAGTAAGTCCTAGGAATGGCAACAGGGCGGGGCGGGTACAGGTTTCATGATACTTGTCCCCGTACTCGTACCCGTCGAATATGTGATTTTTATCTCATCTCCGTCCTCGTCGAGTATCGGGTATATCCGTACTCATACTCGTACCCGTACTCGTCAAAAAAAATTTTTTTAATAAAAAAATATAATATTTTTAAATTATTTTTTTATTATATTATAATTATAATTAGGTTATTTTTCTATCTCATATTATAATAAATAATTACACATAAAAAAATATTAAAATTCTTTAATATAATTAAATTGAAAGTGAGTATTAAATTACAAATGGGAACGGGGACGGCTATGGATACGGGTACGGGGCGGGTAAGTACATATCCGTACTCATACCCGTACCCGTACCGATTTAATATATCGAGTTTTACCCGTACCCATACCCATACCTGGTCAAATTGGGTATTTTCCGTCAAAGTCGGAACGGGTTTGGTTATTACCCGTGAGTACGGGTATATTTGTCATCCCTAGTAAGTCCTAGTTATATGACAAAAATAAAGACGTGTGAGATGTGATTTTTGGAGCAAATAATCTTCGATTTCATGATTCGAGGATAGTGTATCTCAACCCAAATCCGACACTTTCTATTGGACTTCTTTGTTGGGTTGGTCCCAATTCCAAATAATATCTTCTTATAACGTAATAATAAAAGTCTAGCTAATTGCAATACTACAAAGTTAATTAAAGAGCATTTAATACAATCTATTAAATACTTTTAATTGCTTAAAAAATAAATACTTTTCTTTTGTATTGTATAACGAGTTTTTTTTTCTATACACTTTAAATACAAAGTTTTTATATTGTGATTTTTGAAATCGATATTATAAAAAAATAATTTAATTAACCATGCATAATAGTATATGAATATTATGAAATTTCCTTACGCCATATACGTATACTATTTGCTCTTTTGTGATATAGTATTTTACTTTATTTGTTAATCATGCTAAGATACTTATAGCATTTTCTTAATGACAAAAAGAGTGAAAGACTAGTAAAAAAAAATCCAACACAAAACCTTGTTGAATTGATTTTCCGGGGATAGAAACCCATTTCTGATTAAACTAACCTCACTAATTAAATTAAACAATCAAAAGTATAAAAAAAAAAAAGTACCCTCAAATACCTTTTGTTAGGATCTTATAAGGTTAACTTTAATGATCCCGAAATTTAGGATATAATTTTTTAATAAAGCATCTAAAAAGTATAGATGGATTTACCTCCTTTTCTAATTGAGATTGTTTCTTCAATCGAATAATATCTCCATGTGCATGTGATTTTCCCCCCTCTCCAATAATTGATATAAACAACATTAAAATACAGCATTAAACTTACTCTAGTTAAATCTTCTGAGCTAAGAAATATACTATTAATACCACCACATAGACAAAATCTTCTCAGTTACGGAAAGAATAACTTTACTTAGAGGTGTCCACTTTCGTTAAATTTTTTTCTATACAAAAATAGTAAAACGAGAAGACATTCCCAATAATATCATAGTAAATGATGATGTCCTATCATTTAAAAATATATTCTGAAAAGTGAACTAAAATTAAAATCCTTCATTTACTATGATAATCTAGTTCAGGTAATTGAACAGAGTGAACGAATGTTGTTACTATACTGTGTCCGATTCTGATTGATAAAAAAAAAAACAAATAAAAAAAAAAAAAATCCTTCATTTGATCACAAGACGCTAGAGGTTGTTAATTATAATTGAGAACATAAAACCAGAACCAAGGACAATGGGTACAAGAGGATTGCAAAGAAGGAAGACCACAAAGGGATAATGGTGACAAAACTTGCAGCAAAGCCCGAAATTGAACAAACAATGGCAACGACCAGCATTTCAGCTGAGAATTGCCAAGTGACTTGTCGCACATAGATCAGAATTGAGATTGCAAAGAAGCCCAGAATGTTATTCATGAACACCCCTCCATAAATCTGCAATGGTCCAAATCCTTTTAAGTCTTCAGAAAATGATTTATATATATTGATTGAGTTTGTGTTTGGATTATTGTTGAAAAAACTGATTTTGGTTAAAATAAATTTTAAAATGATGTGATTTATGATAGTAAAGTTACTAATTAAACTCGTAAAAAAATTATTCAATGTAAAAGTTATTCAAAATTACTTCAACTCAAAATTAATTTTCTATCTTGAAACAATTTTTCAACATGATACTAAACAAGTAAATGAGGAATGTTAGGACATTATGTGGTTCACTTTTTTGTTATTGACCCAAGTTAATTGAAAATCACATATTTTGTTTATCTCATAATTTATTTAAAGTCTCTTTTATGATTTTTAATCAATAATAAATGTAATATTTCATATAGTATTGTTAGTATTTCTCATATATAAACATTTAACTAAAATCACGTTAACCAGTATTGTTTAATGATTATACATTTTCATTATAAAAGTTTTTACCCTATAGACCAATCAAAAAACAATATTAATATGACTTTTTTAATAGTTTAACGTGATGCTTGATAAGTCAATTTGAAACCAAACACTTTGTGTTTGTGGAATGAAGTTGGTGAAGAGAGATGACTAACCTCAGAAATGGCAAGAGAGGTAGTTCTTGGCTTCTTATGGCTTGCTTCTTTGATTGCTGAAGTTGCTTCTCTAGCATTTGTGGCCAAGGGAACTAGAATAAATGACATGAAAAATGGATGAAGTCCTGCACTGGTAGAGAAATTGTGGACACTCTCTATCAGGGGCTCTGCCAAAATGGATAGCATAGCAATTCCCAGCACCACATATATTATGGCCTTAAACCATGCACATATTGATTTATCAACAATTGCTTTGCTTTGCTTCTCTCCCACCACCATGTCAGCCTCTTCCCAGGTCTTGCATGCACAATCAAAGTGTTAAGTTGACATTGCTCACTTTAGAACAATTAAAGATGAAGGAGAACAGTTATAAGTTGATAATTTTTCAGTTTTTGGAAAAAAAGAAATTAAGGGTTTGGGTTTGGGTTTGGATAAACTTGTCCAAATGTACTTTCGAGGAAAAAATAAGAAAAATCGAAAGAAGTTTTTTATAAACTAAAATGCATAAATTCAAAATAAGTTTTTTTTTTTTTAAGAAATTAGCTTGAGAAAGATTCTATAAATTAGCTTATTTTAATTTGTGAAGAAATTTATTTTATTTTTCTTTCTATTTTTCTCTCCTCATAGGTAAAATTTACCCAAACAGTTACTATAATGCATGCTTACCTCATACATATCTTCTTGAGACTCAGAATCTGTCACAGGAGCATGATCTGAAGTTGAGCTAATCCATTTCTCAAACCCAGCAACAAACTCCTCCTCATTGATTATGTGGTCTTTGTCAGTGTCAAGTTCTTCAATGACTAAAGCAACTGCTTCTTCCACTTCCATTGATGCTTTAACAAACTTGATGTTCATGATTAGCTCTCTCAACTCAGAGTGAGAAATGAAGTTATCTCTATTGCGATCAATTTTCTCAAACAACCTGGCGAACAGTGTGGCTATGAGACTTAGGAAGTGGAAAAAGTATAGAAGAAATTTTATGAGGTTTTTGTTCTCTTAATTAGACTAGTAAAATGTGTTGTCACTGCAATCATTCAGGATTTTCATGAAGAGTTAGAAGCTTTCAATATAATTTGAGGCTAGTTATAGGTGATGTTGTATTTACATTTTGAACTAGCAATAGTGGCGTTTGGTGGATTATTTTCAAATTGGGCTTGAACTAGTAATAGCAGTAGTTTTGAAATGAATTTCACATATAATTAAAATGCATTGTACTTATGCCTAGGTAAGAGAAGCAGTTCAATTAATTAATACTAACTCTCTGATAGAATGTTCATCAGGTTTTCCATCTTCTGTGAGAAGGCTACCAACCATATCACTCTGAACATGCCTTAAGATTTCAGATATAAGCTGTTTCTTTCCTTCACGTTCTCTTCTTTTGTTTTCAAGCCAAGGTCCAAAAACCTGTAAATGGTTTCAATTAATTGTTAGAATGAAGTTCATGCCAGAAGTTCTTTAATTTTCTGTTTCCAAATCCATCTATCATTTTCCTCACAATTTCAGCAAATATTGTGAAGACTTGTTTTGTAAAGGGAGTGGTGGGAAAGGAAGGATTCAAGAAAATTGGATTTTTGTTATATTGTGAATTTACTCAAAAAATAGAATCGAGAGAAAGGGTGTATAATGTACCTGATATATGTGTTTCAATGATTTCCTTGAAAAATACTGTTTATCAAAAGCATGCTTAGTTTGATCAAGCCATTTTGTGAAGCCACTGACAAATTCCTCCTTATTTATTTTTTGGTCACCATCCAGGTCAAAAATCTGTAGCACCTTTTTTATTTCCTTCTCCTCATCGATATTTGTTTCAGTAACTTTGTTTTTAAGCAAGAGGTCTTTCACTTCAGAAGCTGATATACCACTGCTCCCATCTTGATCTAATTCCCTATACAATCGCCTACAAAATGTAGTGCCTAATTAGTTACACAATGCTCTTTCCACGAAAAATTATTAGGTGGCTCTCAACTATATGATCTGTAATATTAGTCTTTGTATGATTTGAAATTTAGTATCCTTTTTTTTTTGTAAATTAAGAAATTTAAATATAATATATCATTTAGTAATTAGTTAATATTACAGACACTTGATGGTTCTGAGCAATCTTATTTTTTCTCTTGTCCACGTGTCAAAGTACAGCTCTTGGAAATCTCACCTTATGGCGCTCACATTTGGAGTTCCATTCTTGGTGAAGATCCTTTGCAGGGTGTTCTTTTGAACATGTTGCAATATTTTCAATATTAAATGATCATGTTTCACATATTCCAGTCTTCTTTTCTGTACCCATGGTTCAAAAATCTGCAGGGAACATAGCCACGAAGACAATTAATTACTAAGGATTTGTAAGTATTACAGTACAAAATAAGTGTAACCATACGCAATATGTTACACTTTTTTATTTTCAATTTTTTTTGATCCTCAAATCTTGTGTAAAAGTTCAACGACATTTATGATAAAAAGAAATGAAAATTGACAAACCTGGTAAACGAAGTAGACGAAGAGAAAAATGGAGGTAATAACAAGGGCAATTACTAAGGTGACACTTCTTGGCCCAGAAGAGAATTGGAATAAATATGGAATTTGCATGATCACAAGAGGTATGACTGAGCAAACCATGATTCTTGCAGTGTAACACGTTTCCAAATCCGTAGTAATGCCGTAACCTTCACATCCACCAAAAGATTATATTTTTAGGCACGAAAATATATAAGAAATAAGTAGTGAATTATTGATATGTTTTTCTAGTAATTGTCCTAATGATTAGAGTATAAGAGTGGAAGAAAAGAAAGAGACAAGTGAATAAGGCTTGAAGAGTATTATGTGGTGAATTAGAAGGGTGAGAATGATGAGGAAATTCTTGGGTGGCAGCAATGACACAGGTTGGCCAAACAAGTGTGAGAAGCAAGATGGATGATCCAGCCAATAAGCCAACTCCAGTGAAGGCATATTCTTGTGCTATCTCCCTATTGCTCACAACCACTCCAGAAACTGAGACACATACAAAAACAATAATGATATAAATAAATTAAGCTGTTTAGTTAACAAAAAAAAAAAAAAACAAAGAAAATAGATATGTATACTGATTAGCCCATGTCTCTCCAAATGTAGCACACTTGATAAAATATCGGTATTTTTTTTTTTTTAATTTTAATTTTTATATTTTGGACATGGGTAATTCTTTTCAAATTTTTTTTTGAAATGGTAACTTTTTAAAAAAATCCAAAAATGAGTAACTTTTAAATAAATATCGTATTTCACAAAAATAACTTTTTTATTTTACTATTTTAATATTATTTAGAAAGGATGTCATGCTTGATATATGAGAATGAGAGTCTTGCCTTGTTTTATTTATTTTTTCTTTTTAAAATAGTATACTTTTGTGTTTGACTCTTTTAAAGTGAGAGAATGTATTTTAAAAAATAAATTATATTGTTTATAAAATCATCAATTAAGATTTGTAATAAAAATCAAATTCTTATAAAATAAAATCTAAAATTGATTATAATATTAACGGTTGATTTTTTAATCAATAATTATTATTGCATTTTATTATCTAAAGTGTAATTCCCTTATTTTAGAGGACTTAGATCATATATTGTCCAAACTAGAAAGCTTATAAATTAATTAATTGAATTGAAAGTGTTTGATAAAATTAACTAATAAACTAATCAATAAATATAAAATGACTTAAAATGGTTTTTATGATGAGAGTGAGTAAATGAAATGATGGACAAATTAATTTTTATATTAAAAGGGTAAAACAAAATTTCAAGTAAATTAATGAAGAGAAAAAAAGGAAGAGAAAAAAAAAACTAAGAGCTTATAAGCTACAAATTTCTTCAATTAACTTATGAAAATAAGTAATAAATTCCTAAAATAAAATAAAAAGTACAAACTATTATAATAAACAAATTTATTTTGATCAAACTAACTAATAAGTTAGTAGAACAAACTTACAAACTTTTGAAATGTTTTTCCAAACATACTTTTATATCCAACTCATCCTAAGATAATATTAAAGCACACAAGGAGAAAGAACAATCTCAACTTTTTTTTTTTTTTTGGATAAAAGAGAAAGAAATAAATAGTGATTTAAATGAGCATAGAAAAGGGAAAATATACCATCTTAAAAAATGTGGGATTTGAGCTTAATTTGACTCTCAATGTATAAGGTAAGAATTGTTCTCAACTTATATATTCTATATTATTAGTCATTGTAAGGCTTTTAACATACATGAAACTATTAAAATGTTATATATTATCTTATTTTATTTTTAAAATGATAGCTAAAGGGCAAGGACTAATGCACAATGCTAATTTACAAGTGAAATGTATTTAGATTAGTTTGATTCATGAAATTTTTTAAAGTTTTCAGTTAGGTTTCTAAATTAAAAAAAATGGAATTAGATATTTCTGCTTTTTATATTTTTATAATTGTTTATAAGAATACAAATTTGTTTATAATTTATAAAATTTCTCAAAATATTTTTTATATCTTCATATTTAGATAATCACATCATATTACTATTAATTACATGCTATCATCTATATGCATCAGATTTTAATTTTTTAAAATTGCCTAATTCTAATTATAAAAAAATTCAGGAATAAAATGATGTACTAAAATTTTAATATATATCAAATTGTTAGAGATAGTTCCGTGCGACGTGCGTATATAGGATATAGCTGTTAACATGTTAAATCAGATTGTCAAAAAGAAAAATGTTAAATTATAAAATATTGAGCTCGACCAGAAGATTTGATCATAAGATAACAACAGCTATTGGTCCAACGTTATGTACAAACGTTCACGTAAGCCAGTTCCCTTAAGAGAAAAGTCTTTACTAATTAAAAAGAATAGAAAATTTCAACCAATAAAATTAAGTTGTTTTAAAATATATGTTAATGGATAGGTTTAGGTATATATTTGAATTAGTAAAATAATTACGGAACCTAACCTATAACTTGTGTATAATAACTATAATACTCATAGTTAATTTCATTATTATTCGCATTTTGATTAATTTAAATATAGTTTTTAACTTATTTGTTTCTTTGACAAATTAATGATGATATTACAATAGAAATGTTAATCATGAAAAAGGAAATAAAAAAGTATTGAAGAAAAGTAAAACATATATATTAAAAAATAATTTAATTCTTAAATATAAATAATTAGAAATAAAATCATTTAACTTTATTAAAAATATTTTAAAAAAATTCAAATTCAAATTATAAAATATAATAAATAACTTATACGAATATGGATAAGGTCGGAAAGTTTAATACTAATACAATTTATATTTATAAAATTTTGTAGATGATTATTCATATAGTACCATATTCCTTCATTGACCTACCCTTTATAAATAATTTTTATGAGTAGTTAATGAGTGTGGTTCAGATTGTTATCCCTATCACAAGTTATAAGTCAACCCTGACACGCAAACTGCATATGACAAATTAAGTTGGTAGATTTAGATCTGAGACTCATGGTAGATACAGTCAAGGCAAACGTATATAGCCTTAACATATGACTAATATTAATTATAAATTTTGCTGAATTTCACATGTCGATCATTAGTTAAAAAAGGAAAGCAACTTCATACATGATGTTAAGGGTATTTTCTTTAGTAAAAGAAAAATCAATGCAAAAAATATTTTAGATTGGTTATTATAAAATTGATCAAATAATACCTTTGATTTGAATCTTATAAAAATATTAGCTGGCAAGTGTTGTTACTTGCTATTCATGCTTATAGATACTTATTTATATTATAACAAGTTCTATCTATTTAACTAAAAAATATAAGGTTGCATACAGAAGAAGAAGAAGAAGATAAAAGATAACATACCAAGAAGAATTAAGGGCTCTGGAAGGGCACCAAGGATGTGAAAAGCACTAGCACCAAAGATACCAGGGCCAAGAATCTTGAACATTTGTTCACCTCCCTTAGCCAAATATGATTCTCCATGGAAAAGCAAATACTCATACACCAAAATAAGAAAGAGATGCCCAAAAATATTATTTGTGCATGGCAAGAAGCCATACATTTGCTTGCACTGCACCTCCAAGGATTCATCATCACCATCACCAACATCAATTCCTTTGAGAACTAAGTATGAAGTTTTGTTGTGTTGTTGTTCAACATCATGAACACCATCCGAAACTAATTTGGTAGCTTTGTCTCGCACATAGCGACCTTGAACCGTTGCTAATAAAAGAAGAAAGATGAAGCATGGTGTTTTGGGATTAATGTTCCTCATTTTTTCTGAATTGACCCAAGGAAATTTATGACTATAATAAGGAAAAGATAGAAAAATGATTTAACATATATATATGCGTATAGCTCAATTTTTATAATCTTTTTGGTGATGTGTGTCTATGAATTCAAATTTTGAAAATAAAAATAAAAATAAACAATGGTCATTTGGAAACTAGGGTGTACAAGTAATTGAATGCAATATAATCGGTTACTTGTCCCTAGTTCAAAGAAAGAAAAGTCTGTCATAAACGAATGAATGATTCTTCCAAGAAACTAGGGTGTACAAGTAATTTGAAAATGAATGATTCTTCCATGTCCAAAATTTGGTATTATATGTATTTGCGTATTCTATCTCCTATTTCTTGACTTGAAAAATAATACTACTCATATATGTATTTACCTACTCAATATTTTGTCTTTGTATAATTGATTTCTATCATTAGATTATAATTAATTAATTAATATCATTTTACTTTTTATATACCTACTTTTTAATTTTAAATTATGTTGCGGTTCACTCAAACTAGCTTTTAAGTTAAAAAATTAATGTTTGAGACATAAAAAAAATCGTATGCCTAATTTTATAAAACCTAACCGGATCATTTGTCCAATTATCTTAGGTCTATGTTATGTCTGAGGTGAATGAGGGTGATGAACTTAGGAATGGATGTTCAAGTCTCCAGCGTCTAGCACACCTGAAGCATTCAAGGAAAAGGTGGTAACCACAAAAGATATTATGACGCTAGTCCTTCTAGAGTAATGAGATATGAGAAAAAATCATCCATAATAATAATAACAATAATAATAATTAAACAAAAACACATGAAAGTAAATTGTTAAAATCTCATCATTTATTTTTAAAACTTTTATTTTATACTAAAAATATAACCCCTTTAAATATATCTATCATTATAGAAGATGTCTTCAATAATAGTTTAGTAAATGTTGGGAAGATTACAGATGCTATCAAATATAGGTCATGAAAATGGTTGACAGCGAATTTGAATGAGGGACAACTAGTATACATAAATTAGTTAAATAAGTCATTGATATATATTCAGCAGTTACCTTAACTTTGTATATAAGTTGGAATATCATTTGTACTCCTTTTTTTTAATATTATATTTTTTGCTTATTAAAAAAAATGTCTCTTATGATAATAATTTTTATTTTTTATATTTTATATGAATCATTTTCTCTCTTATTTTTTGTTTTCTTAAAATTATATTTTCTACAAGTAACTTTTTTCCTCTCTTTTTAAAATCTTAAAACTATAATAATTATTCATAAAAATAATTATTCTTTTCTTTTAATATATATAGTGTAGACACGAAGTGTCTTTTTTCTATTAATACATGTAAACAAAAAAAAAGGACTAATTATTTTATATTAACGAACTGTTAAATTTATCTAATTTTTATAATTTTATATAAATTAAAAATACACACTGCATTTCTTAAATATCTCTAATTATATTTGTTATAGATAATACTATATTTTATTGGTTTAGGATTATTTTTTGAATTATAAACATTAAATAAAGTTGTGTTGATTAAAATTTGTTTATATTAATAGAATGTGTGTGAATTTGTTTTAAACACTTTTTGTTGATATATAAATTAGATAAAATATTATATTGCAAATGTGTGTGAGATCAAGTTAATTACTCCAAAAATATTTTTTTAAAAAAATTTATTTCACTTAATAGCTTACAATATATTAAATTAAAAATATTTATAAAATTTTAAAATAATTTAGTATTTTGGAATTAAGTATATCTCATCCAAACGTGTGTGTTTTGTCTTACTTATATGTATATATAAAAGTTATAGATGAATATGAAATTACTCTAAAAGTAATATTTTACAAAATTTACTTTATTTAATAAGTCAAAATTTATTGAATTATAAATATTTATAAAATTTAAAAACAATTTAAAGTTTGAGAATCGAGTATAGTATTTGCACACATAATGTTATATATTAATATGTATGTGACTACTATTACATGTACATAAGGGAGAGTGTTCCGTGGCGCTGCCTTACTAGAAGAAATATATATCTGGAAACAAGCACTAATATAAATTTTAATTTTTTGGAATTATTTTATAATATAAAATTTAAAGTACACGTTTAAATCAGTTTTCAATTTAAAAGTAATTTATAACAGCAAACCATTAGTTTTTTTTTTATACTATTTTAATGTGATTCAGTTTTTATTTGTAGTATTTTATTTCCTTTGACTTGTCTCTTATCTCTTGGCTATTAATCTTATTGTTTTTGCACGTGATGACTGTTTCTCCTGCAGCAAATATATTTTAATAGACTATTTTTTTTAGTTATTGTTATTTTAATTTATCATTTATTTTAATGTAATTTGTTGATAATTAATACATTATATTTATTTATTTTCATTTTTCTAACAATTTTAGAGAAAAAATGTCCCAACAATGATAGATTAATTTGATATGATTTTTTAAGATGCTATAATTTATCATGTGCAGGTGCAATGAAGAATTTTCAAATCAAAGAACATGATTTTAAAATATATTTTTATTTATAAGAGAAATTTATATTGAAATATAGAAAATTAATTTTTCAATATATATAGTGCGATATTCTTGTTGTTGCTGCTGCACATGTTTCGTGAAGAAGAAGATATATAGTGAGAAAATAAATTATTTCTTAGATGTCAATGATATGAATTGGATCATAATTTCTTAAATTATAAAAAATAATTTTAATTAGAACTCGTGATTTATGAAATATTTTTATTTTTAAAAGGTTTCAAGAGTATAGGCTTTCCAAATTTGTGCCTCAAAAAAATTATAAGGTTAAAAAATGTTATATCTAATTAACTTTTTTTATTTAAAATTTTACTTTAATTTTAATTATATTATAAAAAATTATATTATAATTAATTTTATAATTATGACTTATTTATATTATTTTATAGTTATAAAATACTTTAGTCTAAAAGCGAAAAGACCATCAAGTTATGACAACTTGCATTCCTTTTTTCGTGTGCATCAAAGGTAGATAAATAATAATACTCACAAGATTATTAAACAAGGTATCAATGAATGACATGCTAGGATTCTCAGATTAAGTACCATTGTCTTCTTAATAGTTACTCAAAGCTTAATAGCATTCAGTTAATGTGACACCCTCTACAGAACGAGAACGAAGT